TTCACCTCCTTATGTAGTATACCCTCTGCTCTAATTACAACTACAGCACTGCAATAAATAAAACAAAAATGTGTAAGAAAACATTAATAACTCTGATCCTGTTCTGTACTTTAGCCTGGATTACTGTACGTATGTAAAGCTTACTTCTTACACATATACATTTCAATTTGAAATACCATTAACAACGAATATAAAAATATATTATATCTTAAGTAAAATTCAAGAAATCATTCAGTGAATTGCAATTTCCTGTGCATAACCAAAACATAGCTATTACAGTACCCATGTATCGGTCATTGCTGTGACGCTTGTGGCATTGCAACCTTTTCTTGGTGCAAAAGAAAGTTCTCATTTATCATCGTATTTCTTCCTGGCACGTTACATTCTAGCATGATACAACTGCAATATCCAATCTTAGGATTACATTTAAAGTATTCTAATCATTCATTAACTTGTGCAGATGAAAATATGGAAAATTAGAAACTATTACAAATTTCCTAAACCTAAAGCAGAAACAACCTTTCAGAGCTTCTGAAGCTTTTGGAAACTGTAATACAATACAGTTACAATACAGAGAGCAAGTCACATATTTTAAGCTCTAGTTGTATAAAACATCTTGCTGCATTCTATGGTTCTCGTGTTTATACATCAGTATTCAGATACAGAAGACACCGCAGTTTAAGTCTGTTCATTCAAAGCAAGAAACAAATTATGACTTGCATATCACAGAAAAAAAAGACTTCACAGGTAAAGCAGTTACTCCCACAATCTCTGTTGTACAAAAACTCAACAAGAAATTGAGATTCAATCTTATCTGAGCATCTCAAAATAAAAAGCACCAGCTCATACATTCATTCAAATATACTACACGTTACAATTAAAACATTTACAAGGATTTGAGCCCCTAAAATTAAAAATGTAGCGTCAGTCTTATCAAATACTACTATACTAACTACACAATTCCTATCCCTTTGTTTTGATATTTTATCTATTAGTGTATTAATGAGGGTACATCCCAGGGACATCTGTTTAGTCCCTCTCTTACTGAACAATATGGGAAGATATTATGTCATTAGGTCACATTTTTTGGTGCCATGGATGAATTAGCTTTGTAACTTTACTGCAGTAGCTTAAGTAACTCTGATTATAAATCTCTGACTGGCAGTTCTAACATTAAATACAGTTATTACACACTTTAGTGTGAAAAGCATATTGTTATCATAGTATCAAATGTTAAGTATTACACAACTTGCAGTGTTCTATTTATGCAAGACTTCTCCCCTTGGCTTATACTGTTACATAAAAACATAAACTGTTGCAATCTACAGCCATGGCCACACCTCTGCTTTCTGGGAGGACAGGAGAGCTGGCAGTACCTTCATGTGTCTTTTTTAATGGAATTTTTATTTTTTTAAACATTCTGGTACTGCACATGCTGCATACAACAACACAAAATGTACTGCTTGAGCTTAATTTTAATCTTGTTAATTTTAGGTTCTCACAACAGTGACTTTGAAGAGTATTGTCTTCTGGGATGTAACATGTAGCCTGGTAGAGGTTCACCAGCCTTCAAAGGAACATACTGCCTCCACATTCAGTGTCAAAGAGTAAGCCAAGAACGTATGAAGCATTCAGCAATAAACCAGTAATGGGCTGTCCACATCCCACAACACAGTTCTCTTCATAAATGAGAAATCTTATATATCATTTACTATTTTCCAAAGAAACAAAGTCCTTCATGTTCTACAGGCCTACCACCAATTAAACCAGTGTTTCATGTTACATGAAAGAAAGCTATAGACAGTATCACATAACTTCAAACAAGGCCCCACATTCCTAGTCAAATCCTGCGCACAGCTTGTGGTGGGAGGAGTTTCTTAACACTTGTTCTTCCCTCAAACCCACCCCCTTGTCTGAAATTTTTCTTCTGCGCATTCAAGGTTACTCTTGGCCTTGTTCGAAGTTATAATAAATACATGCAAGAGGTAGAAGAAAGACTATAATCTTGGGGGTGTGCTTCAATAGGGAAATACAAAAATAATGCACTGTTTGTGATTTTAGGTTCAATATGGTGGAAAGATGATTGTGACGATAGATAAAGATCTGGAAGGTGGTAGGTGTGCCCCAAAACCGATCTCATTCATTTTGAAACTGCTTAACTGGACACTGGATATAACTACAATCCCACAAGACTTTCCGGGTTTAAACATGGCTATATCTGTTCATATTACTTTGGGGGAACTGGATTAATATTTAATATAATTTCAGTATAATACAGGATACTTAAGAACTTCTTTTCATACATTTTAAGGGGAACAGCAGTTTTCTTACACCTCTGAACACAGAAATATATATATACAGTAGATCGTACACATATTATTTTCTGAGTTTAAGGTCTCCTCTCGCTTATTATGAACTTTATGTGTTCTTATGACATTTAACTGATTAAATTTTATCCATTTATGATTTCCTCAGTTTAATGGTCAAATCCACTGCCCTTCAGAAAAAGATTAACTGGAGAGATCACTGCAGATGATCAAAATGGACTGCTAAGCCAAATGTGTGAATACACTAAAATTATTACAATTCTTCAAAATAGTGTATTGAAATTGTCAACCCTATGAGAGAATTAATCCCATTATACAAAATTTTGTTCAGCAACTGAAAATGTATCAGATGTATGGGCCTGATGCTAAACAATGGTGTACAGCTATCCTGACAGAGGTATCATTGTTGTCATCAGTCCTTCCAGGCACACGTCAAGGTAGCATCTTGATTAGGCCACAATCACTTCTTTCCAAACCTCTTCCAGTTCATTATTCACCTATCATCCTACCATTTGATGCTAGATAGACTGAAAGCACTCTGAAATATACCACAGGTGTCCACTATATATAAATAAAGAAATCTCCAGTACTACATTATATTTAAGCATCCTGTTGCACTATACACTTCTATATGTAATAATACAAATGCCGCCGTGCATGAACGGTGCTGGAAACAAGAAATAGCCGCTGCACCACATGTAGACACAGAGCAAGTGTCCCTGTGATTTAAAACTTTAAATTTTGAATTTTAAATTAAAAAAAAAAATAAATTTTAAACTGGAATTCTAAAATCAAATTGATGAGCATATGTTGGTGAGATTTTAAACAAAACTGACAGGCTGGTGTTTTAGATTTTGGATTGTGTGCAGTGTGACAGCTACATAGTTAATAATACACCTGATGATGGCCAGTTATGGCCGAAACATATAGTGTAGAGAGGAAGAAAAGACAAAGAACTACAACCAAATAAATTGTTGCATTCATGACGACATTTGTATTATTACGCATAGAAACCTCCAGTAACAGATAGCTTGTATGAATCATAAATGTTGAATTTTGGTTACATGATCACACTGGGGTAATAATTAATAAGACAAACTTCTGTTTAGTATTTAAAAAACTCAGGAAACAGCCACTGTTTAACAACGTCACTAATACCTCTTGTTATCATAACCTTTATCTCCTCCACTGTTAATTTTTAAGGGCTTAGTTTAATAAGTATATAAACATATGTACATGGAACTATTTCTATAAATATTTAGCTCTGTACAGTAACAGTACACATCCATACAAAAATTATGCTCAGTTATTTGTGCCACAAAATTCTGAACCTCAGGAACTGAGTGCTGATACCATAACGTTTTAAAGCTACCAACATTTAAAAAATATGCATAAAATAAACGATTTAAATAAACAGAGAGGAAAATTGAAAGATATATGTTTTGATTCCCTTGCTTAAAAAGAACACTTCATTTAAAGATAATTCACTCTTTAACACAAAACTATGCTTTCCTCCATTAACTGACTGATTGGAAAATGAAAGAACACTGAGTATATTTCCTGGAAGGGGGCGTGGGCATAAATGACAACAGAAGCTTGTTACTGGTGAGGACAAAGTTCAAATATAAGGATGAAAAATGTAAGATTTAATATCAAAATTTCTTACAAAAAACTTTGAGAAATCTTCTGTTTTAATAATTCTGGTACAATTCACTTTTCATAGCATATATTAAGTCAATATTTCACAGATACACAGTTCACTGCAGGTTATTTGTATGGGATTAACTGAAGAGTGTATCAGCAACAGCTCCTGAGAAATTCATTTTAAGAAATACTGTATTTGACATTCATAACTGAGCTTCAGAACAAGACAGGAACAAGTGCAGCTATATGCACTGTCATCTGATCCACTACATGACAAATTGTATGAACAGACAGCATGGCTGACTTCATAATTACCTTAAAACTATATTTCATAGACTTTCAGAACTTCAAAAATGTATTCTGAATGCAATTAATTGAAGCTACAGTGATCCCTTATCAATCACAGAATATGAAGTACTTACAATGGAAGATCTTCTAAATCAATGGTTCCGAAACAAAAATTCACCATGGCCACGTTCTGTTATGAATAACATTTAATGTCAATGTCACAAAAATGTAATGAACTTCAATCAATGGAAATGAAAGAAAGATATGGGAAAACAGACTTACTGGCAATGCTGTAACATAGGTACAAATGGTATATGTTCATAGTAAGCAGAAAGAATAATTAAATTGTTTTCCTGTATGGCTGCTTGTAGTCAAAATCACTTCCTGCAGAGAAAGTTACTCCCTATTGCTTCACCTAACACACTTCTGAACTGAAGTGCCATCAAATTAAACACTTTGTCATTAATTTCTGGATACACTATATTCTTGGTGGATCTTAGCAATGATTTTGAATATAATTTAAAGAAAAATATCACTTTGTTTTAAGTTTTCATAGCAGTGGGTTGTAATGTCATGTAATTCAGGGAAATGTGAACGTTTCAAAGGAACATATTTCCTCCATCTTCAGGGTCAAAGAGTAAGCCATGCAAGAAACCAGCAGAATCAGGTGGCAAGCTAAGCTCAGCGTGCTGCCTGCTTCTGCTGGTTTCTTGCTCGGCTTACTCTTTGACCCTGAAGATGGAGGAAATATGTTCCCCTGAAATGTCGGGCTTTCTCCAAACTATGCAGACTTACAATACAGATAACCATACTCTTCAAAAGTATTGCTGTTTTGAACAGGTAAATGAAAGGAATGAATCACGTTGTTTGTTACTACTGATTATAATTAACTTTTTACTTTGGATATCAATCCCATGAATTTATTAACTGATACTTCTATGAGCTGCTCCACAGACTTCTGAATACAGTCCATAAAATAAAACAGGTTAATTAATAAAAAATATTGTTTGAAATAAGACGTGGTCATCAGTACAGAAACAATAATTGTCCCACACAGAGTTCAGACAAGTACTGAAGTGTGTTGGTGGTACTGCTTATCTACTTGGTGATTAAGCCTGATTCCATGAAAACAGTTGTGCATCAGAATGAAAATAAATAGTTATAAGAACCATAGGAAATATACTTTTTTAAAGGTTTCATGACAATACTGATTAATATTGAAGTTCTTTGGGTTGTAAAATAATCTCCTCTTCTGGGGTGGGGATGCAATTTTGGAGAAGAATGACACATCTTAAGACAGGAAGTTCATCTGAAATGTTGAAGGTTCTATGAAAGCAACACATTACTGCACATTTTAGGTTTAAAAATTCAACAAAACAAAGAGAAATCAAAGGTAAAAAAACACTGAATATCTGAATATTTTAGTGCCTTCATATGATCCACAAAGGACAATAAACTGAACATTTTAATCTGAACCATACTATTCAGTTTACAAATGCAGTATAATTAATATGCTACGATAGTGTTCAATGGCACAAAAGTTAATAATTAAATACTAATAAGTTACTGCTTCACTGCGCTGTTCATACAAAAAAGAAACAACATAATATTTTAGTTGATCAGAATAACACTGCATTACACTGCCTACCAGGAAGGTAAGTAAAAACTACTGTGCTAATTCATGCTCTTCAACAGGCCTGCTTATGATCATATCACTGTGACTCGTCATACTTGAAGCAGCATCATCAGCAGTATAGAACTCTGTGGCTGGGGAGCCAAAGTACTTTGTGAGTGCGTACACCACAGCCTCATATGTGGCCATCATGATGGCTGTGTTAGGAATCTGACGAATGAGCTGTGTGCCCAGACCACGATACACACCGCGGTAGCCTTCCTCTTGTGCTACAGTGGCCAATGTCTGCCAGAACGAGCGGTACTTTGTGCCTTCTTCGCGTAGTCTTGTACGTGCCACTTCTGAAACAAAAGATGTCAAATTAATGAATAATGTAGCCACATACTGTATTATGATTTGCTGCTTTGTCAGTTTACAGATATGTCAAGATCTTAGACTATTTGCAACCATATAATAACACACACTGTAATATAATATAAGTAACTATATGGCCATACTTGTCCATAGCTATTCAGTTGACCCAGAAATTCCTTGTTTTTACAGATCTGATGATTCATCATCATATTTGAAAACATTTACAACTGATCCTTATCATCAGTCTTCTTCCCTTTATTGCTACTGACCCACAGCCTCTGCGGGGAACTTGACACTGATCTCAAAACTACACATGTCAAAAGCACTATACTCCCTTGAGGTTTTCTGGGGAAAAAATTGTGTATATATATATATTTCTTGGTTGCTTCCACCCCTTCCCACCATGGCCAGACTGTTTCTGGAGACCAGACAGATCACCAACTGACAGGTACCAGAAGCCATGTCTCCAGGGCTAAACACTTAAGCCAATCACTGCCACTGGCCACTGCTGAGGATTAACAATCAACAATCTGCCACAAAGTATTAAAAACTTGGGCAATGATACTAAAAAGTTTAAATCAGAGTTAAAGAATTATCTACATGCTCATTCCTTCTACTCTTTAGATGAATACTTCAATGTAAATAGAGAATGATGTAAAATTAAGTTATATTAATTTTTAAGCTAAAATTGCCTGTACTTATGTATGTAACCTTTTGACATGTTCTGTATCCAAAGGTACTAACCTGCTTAGGATTTATAGAATGTAAATAAATTCAATTCAATTCAATTCAATTAAAATGGATAGTTTCAGATTCATTCCCTTCATGGTACAGAGGTTAGGCATAATGACAACTTCAGCAATACTGAATGTCTGGGATAGTTCAGTCACTATAGTGACCAGGCTAAGGACTTCACAATCATGGAAATGTGGTTTGTAAAGATTTCTCTTATCTCCACAATGTCCTACAGTCTGCAGGGCATCCAGCATTATATCCATTGGGAACCAGTGGCTCTTTACCTGGGAATAAAACAGCCTGGCTTTGAAGCTCACTATTAACGTCCATTTAGTGAAAAAGTAAAGAATGCATGGCATTAAAACTCTGTTACTCATACACCACCATGGCGTGACGCTTAATTATATACAGGAACAAATTCACATTACTTTTACCATCTATAGTTTTATAAAATGTAAAATACAGAGCTCTGAATGTCACAAGTGCATTCTGCGTTTGAAACGATTACTAGTATAGCAGGTTTGCAAACGTGACAATTAAAGTAGAGGAAATCAAAATGTGATATATCAGACATAATTAAAGTCCGGGGTTAAATATAGTAAAACTTCTTTTTTAAATGGATGTTGCCTGCCAAATGAAACCTTAAAAAAATCTCGCCTGCAGCATCTCTCAACTTGGTTCCCATCCAAACATAACAATCCATATCAAAAACATTAATCTCTCAGGATCCTGAATGATACAGCAAGAAACAAAAAGAATCTAGAGGTATGGATGAAATGTTAACGCAAACTTATAGCAGTTTCAACAACAATAAAAATGTACTCTAAAAAGCAGTGTGATGTGCTGCAAGAAGCAACCAATGTTACTGGAAACTGCTAGTCCACAAATGCTTGCTTTAAAATAAACCGACAGTCAACATTTGGGATGCCAACGGAAACAGTTGCAGGCCTGACTTCTTTTGAAGTCACTGAAGACCACGTCTCTGATAGGGAAATCAGAGAGTGACACAAACAATATACTGTATTTAAAATGCAAGCGCCTTCCGCAAGAGACAATTAAACAACCACTTATAAACATCACGAGAACATGTTTCCACATGGGTATTCTGAAGCAAAGGAGTTGAGGAAATGAGCACTGGAAGCAAAGCACAACTATGACATTTCCAAATTCTCAGGCTAGCACTCAAAAAATGGTAAGAAATTACACAAAATACGGTAAAATGTTCGATAAAACACTGGGCTAAGATTACAGACTAAGTCAGAACTGAAAGTGACTGGAGAAATTTGATCATTAAAATATTAGTAACAGTGACTGTTAAATGTAAATGGTAAAGTTGTCCATGTGCTTAATTAATTAAGCACTATGTCATAAAGACAAAAAGGGTGGCGGGATAGCTCCAACATTCTTGACTTTGGCACTAGATGGAGGTGAATGGTCAGCTTCACGTCCCTGCCGCTTTACCCCTGGAAAGAGCCCCCAGTACCCATTAGATAGCAGCCTGGGTGCGCCCAGAGTCGTTCTTTAAGTCATGGGAAAGAGAAAAATCTCTTACTCTGCCGGGAATCGAACCCCGGCCGTCCAGCTCGTAGCCCATTGCTATTCCGACTGAGCTATTAATACTGACAGTACTTGCATATGTACGAATATCCTCTTCATTGCTACATTTCAATTTATTTTATACATTAAATGTAACATATCCTTTTACATTAATAAACATTTCCAAATTCAAGAACTGCATTATATTAAAAGGAGAGGGAAAATAGAAGAGCAAACAGGGAACAGTTAAAATAGTAAAACGGGTTTCCAAGTTGGTATCTCAACAAACGCGATTATAATTTGAGTAGTTCAATAATTTTAATGAATGCTACAAAAGAGAGTCACAATCCTGTAGCGAACCCCCCCCCCCCCCTCCCGGGGGNGAATGTGAAAAAATTTTTGCATGAGAACTAATAGACAGCGCCGTGACGATGCGGCAACTTCTCTGCCACAAAAGTATCGTGTGTTGCGTAACACGACGGTGCAGGAGCAAGTTATCAAATTTCTGAAAATGTGGAAATCCCTGTCTGTCGTACTGATTTATGAATACTGTTTATAAACGTCAGTTGCTGCCACAACGTTCTCACGTGATTTCAACAACGCTTCATAATGCTTCTCCTTACAACGTTATCTGCAGAAACCTGTACGCATGGAAGCAGCATTTTACAAATCGCAGTACTAAATCCACAACTTTGTTTACCTACATTCCAACAAATATGAGGTACAAAACTGATAAGAAACAAGAAGTTCTAGGAAGACCTATGCGCCTACTTTCCTAATACGACACGGACCGCACAGAAAACAAAAAAAAGCAGGCGAGGCATACATAGACACACAAACAGATGCACAGATAGACAGACAGCAAGGTGACGTCATAAGCCACCTTTTGTTTTCTTGAAAATAAGGAAAGTATGCTAAAAGTGCGTTCTGGAATGTGACGCGGTGCAGGCTGGTAGAAACGTCTGAACATTTTGGAAAAATACACAGCCTCCATCTTCAGGGTAGAAGATTTTACCGTCAAATCAAAGAAGACGGTCATCTCACCGCGGTGTAAAACCCAGACATCTCAAAACTGATCAAACCAAACGAAATTCATGACGAAAGTAAGCGGTTAAATTCCAGAAACGCTTCCTTCCATTCAGATCATAATTTTCATCTCCCCATTCCAAATTTAAAAATACAAAACTAGAATTCGTTCTGCGCGTGTGTGACACGGTCTCTCACTGTAAGGGAAGAACTGCGGTTGCGGGCGCGTGAGATCGAAGGGACGCGAAAGACATTCAGACTTCAGAAACTGCAAGTTACAGAAAGATGGAACATCAGAATATGTAGTCTTCAGATAATACTGTTGAGGTGATTAAATTAATAACGGTGATACAGGTAGGACAATTCGCAAGCATGGAGATAAGAAAAATGAATACAAAATTTTGGACGCGAAATCTCAAGGAAAAGGGGTATGTGGCGAATGTATACACGGGCGGGTGGTTGTATGATTTTTTTTTAATTCGCTTAGTTAGGGGTGGAGTCAAATTGGGTCCACTCGGCACGGCGGCCACTGATTGGCCTATTGTACATGCCCCGGGTGATTATGATGATGGAGAATTTTGTGGAATGAAGATTGTGAGGGGAAACCGAAGTACTCGGTGAAAACCCGCCCCAGCGGCACTTTGTCCACCACAAATCCAACTTGACCAGATCCGGGATCGAACCCGGGCCGCCGCGGTGGGAAGCCAGTGACTAACCGCTTGAGCTATGGCGCGGCCTTGGTTTTACGGTGCCTGCAGAAACAATGTGTAAGGGATTTAACTAGCTCAGACACCATCCAACGGCGAGTTCTACTTAACAATGAAATGAACGTTCGTTTTCCATAAAAGGTGGGGAATTCATTGACCAGCGGAATAATTACCAGGTTTTAGAGAAAGGATTTGTTACTGCTGCTATTATTATTATTATTACTGTTATTTTAACAATACGAAATGAAGGGATATTAAAACTTTCGAAGAATCAACCAAAAAACTAGGTCCACAGATTCGATCAAAGGACTCTGTGAAATGAGATTACGCCACAGTTCGAGATATACGCCCGGTTAATTTTCGTATTAATAATCCGGCAAGTAAACTGCGAAGGAGATTAATAAGCAAAACAAATGCAGAAACGCGACATATTCGCAGTACATCAGCTGCGCTTCCAAACAATCAGAAATGAATGAAGGTCGACGTTTCTTAGACCGGTGTTTACCTTCAACAAGTTTGGTGCGAAACCTATCTGGTAACCTTGAAGTCGAGTTCCAAAGCCACTTGCCAACAAACAGGAATGTAAGGTACTGTAGTTACTTAAATCTAGAGTTACGGTTGCCAGAAGCAAGCACATCACCCCACTTGCAGACCGCGCCAGCTCCGCTAGTACACAACACGAATCACTTAACGAGCACTGTTTTGCCTTCTGCCCAATATAACCTCACTAATCAGGGTTTCTTATAATTCCTCAGATATCATTACAGTCAACAGCGTACAGTTTAAATGACTGACTCCTGGCCAGGGGGTGGAATCTTGAATAGGGGAAAGGGCAACACGGTAACTACTGCCTCTATGAATGTCTGCAGTAACTACACGCAGGTCTCGACCAATCAGAGAGCCTAAACAAACCAATTTGAATACCCATAATTACTTGCGGTTATGGTGGTGCATAATATGGAAATTGGTAAGTATGATTGTTTATTTGATGTGGTTGCGAAACGAAAGTAGACATTTGCGAACGAAATTACAGCTCCATATTAAACATATTATTTGTGTATATGAATGTTATGCTTACTAGCACAAATATAATGAGAAACATATAGAATTCTTTCAAGCCTAAATTTGTTTAGGTTATCATGTACTGTCATCTAAATGATATTTTTTTGATATGTTCTGCAATTTTNCGCCCTAGCGCCACTTTGTCTACCACAAATCCCACTTGACCGCACCCGGGCCGCCGCGGTGGGAGGCCAGCGACTAATTGCTTGAGCCATGGCGCGGCCGAATTATGGACATGCTTATAGGTTAAAGTTATCCCTCTGCAATGTCTTTTGCAGGGAAGATATTGCATTTTGAAAAATTATCAAGATTAATTTCGGTTTTCAGAAGATTTAAACGTAAGATAGAGTCTTAATGTTCTTTCGCACACTTAAACCCAAAAGCCCTATTAAGATGGATTTCGATGAAATACGATATAGTTAGTATTCGCCTGTGGCTCCACAGCTCACACAGTCGGGAGGACTCCTTGGACGGGGGATCAGCCCGTCGCGGGGTTACTATCTACACACAGAACAACACAAACACATAATGAAAGCACGGACATCTTCTCCTTGAGTGGGATTCGAACTCACGATCCCAGCGGTGGAGCGGGCGAAAACTGTTCATGCCTTAGACCGCGCGGCCACTGCGAGCAGCGGTATAGTATCATACTGGCTCAAGAATTATCCACTACAATCATACTTTAACCTAAGAGAATTTTTAATACTACAAATATCAAACTAATGCGTTCTTTGCGATGTTGCGTTAAAGATGATGCTGACGGTAAGTAAAGATCTGGACGGTAGAGGCCGTGGTTTACCTCAGGCTAGTGAGGCACAAGAAGCCACAGAACAGCTAAGTTTCGGTACTATCATCACCCAAATACAAAGTCTATAGCGTTACCACCAATGCAGCAGCCGAAATTATAAACTGAATTACAGGCCCTCCCTCTAAGGCCTAATATCCAACGGATATCATCATCATATCCATCATCACCGAACAGCTCCACTGAAAACTGGTGAGCGTAGACCAACATGGGGCTGTCGTGTGAATATCTGGCGGCAGGTATATGGAGAGATTTTGCAACGCAGAAAGCTGATAAGTACTTCTGTTTTTATAAGGATATGACATGATTATTCTACTGTTGCCAAATCGGCCGCAGAGGATACATCTCATTTGCATGCACGGCGCATGAGCAGTCACGGATGACGAGCCCTCAGACTGCAGCCAACCATTCCGTAATTTAACTGGGCACTTCACGAAGGTCAACCTATGTAGCTAGTTCGCATGACAAGAATACGTGGACCCCGCCCTCCTCATCTCACGTGGGTCACCTTAATATGTACATTCCATTTTTTCTGCTTTCATCGAACTACCAAAACACCAGGCGATCATTTACACATTATGGATTCAGGGATATTTGAGCATGCTGTTACATACATAATGAGAGTCTTTATTACAAGAATATCAACCGTTTTCACTATTTTCTTTTCTTGGCACTACAGCCCCAGTGGGCCTAGGCCTGCCTCCATGAACTTCTCTGTTCACTTCGGGTTTTCTAGCTCTTACACATTCGGTAGGACTCCTTGGGCGGGTGATCAGCTCGTCGCAAGGCCTCTACCTGTACACAAACACAGAAAAACGCACACACACATACTAAACATCCATGCCATGAGTGGGATTAGAACCCACGATCCAGGTTTCCAAGCGAGCGAAGACAGTACATGCCTTGCTTAGACCGCTAGGCTAGTGCGAGCGCCCTTCGGAGAAAATTTCAAATTACTCGAATAATCTACATTAGCAAAATATTAAAGCCACATTCATGAATGAGCGATCGGAATGGAGCGACGAAGTTCATACTGCGATCGTTTCTTGAACCTGCAACCACAACCATGATTCCTCTTACGTTCTGAGAACATCCATTATCGTACCGAAAAACAGCTCTAATCTACTCACAGACATTTTGTTTATAAACTCTTATCTGAGAACAACATGTAGCACGAGCTCCTAACATGAAGCGAGCGGTCTGTGCTATTAGATATACATTGGGTTCAGATATCTTCGTTTCAGGAGCAGGGGTAGAAATGGATTCCAGTTCAGAATGAAGCACTCTCTCCCGATTAATATAAAAGCCCGAGGAAATGGCTAAAACATATTGATTCAGATTTTTTTGAAGCAAAAGGTCACCACGTCATGAAGATATATGGTTCTTGATCTCGGCACTAGAAAGAGGTGAGTAGTCTGCTTTACCCCCGGGGAAGTAACCCCCAGTACCCCCTGGGAGGTGGGATCCAGAGCCGGTCTGGACCCTATGGAGAAGAGAAGAATCTTGCACCTGCCATGAATTGAACCTCGGTTGTTCAGTTCAAAGCTCATCGTTATACCGATTCCTTCCGACATCTAAAGACACTGGAAATGGGTTCTTCAAAATGAACAGCGTCTGCCTTCATCTGCCCCCTTTTACAGCCTTGCACAGTACAGAACCACAGCAGGAGCTATCGGACATATAAACTGTCCTTCCGTACCGTTTGACGTGAGTTGTATGGGATATTACTAAAATACGTATATACCTTCCATGCAGTGGGATGGGGGCACCCAATTCTTCCGCTGGCTTTCAGTCCACATAAACACTATAACGATTGTTGCATTTCTGGATATTATCCGTCGTCTTGTTTTACACGATAGTTGTATTTCTACACTACCGTTACAAACTTTCAGATCTTATAAACGTTAAGGACATCTCACTTTCTAAGATTCGTAAACATGAAATTCTGAATAAAAATGACTATAAAATAATAAAGTTTCTATCCTATTCTGTAAGGCACTGCACATTTTATCGTTCGCAGTCCTGGCCTCCATGATCACCGGACTTCAAACCAACTTTTGGTCCCGTACAAAGAACTTCCTATCTTCTAGTCTCATTAATAGCGAAATGGTGAAACGAAGGAACTTGTCTCCATCTGAAATCGAACCCCAGTCATTCAGCCCACGGCCATTCACTTTACTGCATGAGTTACCCTGCACAGCAGGCCGCGCCATAGCTCAAGCGGTTAGTCGCCGGCTTCCCACCGCGGCGGCCCGGGTTCGATCTCGGGTCTGGTCAAGTGGGATTTGTGGTGGACAAAGTGGCGCTGGGGCAGGTTTTCTCCGAGTACTTCGGTTTCCCCTGCCAATCTTCATTCCACCAACTGCTCCGCAATCACCCTCACCTATCATCTTGGGCTGGTACAATATTCCAGAAGTGGCCGCAGTACAAGGTGCTTAGTCCCAACCCCACTAGCAATAAAAAAAATACCCTGCATAGCACGACACCATTACCGTGAATACGGCGCCAACTTACCGTGAGGATAGGCGATACAGGATGCAATGGTCTTGGACACCGCACCAGCCATCATGAACTCGAGGAAATCTCTAGAGGACTTGGAGTCGGTAGGTTGACCCGATCGGTATGCCATCAGTTTTGCCTTGATGGCTTCGTAGATAACGAAATGTACCACAGTCTCCGAAATCCCAAAGTATGAGGCAGTGATGCCTTTGTAGAAGCCCAGCAAACCCTAGGGATCAACACAGTACATTTCAGAATATGGCTACAAAAGTCTAGCAATTTTCACAGATTTTCAACCCTTTATTGGTCCAGGAGACCTCTAGAATACTGCACCACAGATTCCAGTCGTATTGTCATGGGACTCAACCCACGTGCTGCGGTCTAATGAATGTACCCCACAAATGCCAAAACAAATTACAGGAGGGTATTCTGCTAACTCACATGGGCTTGCATACCAAACTGTATGCTCTGCACTGTAGTGGCTAGCGCTCCTGCTTCCTGATTGGGAACTCTACTTCGAATCTTGGCCTCCAGACGTCTTATCGTTAATTTTTTTATTGAATTTCCTCCACACCATCATGTGATCCTGTTGCAGTTCTTTAACCCCTGGCAGTGCCCCTCCATGGAGCTTAGCCCTTCTTGAAAAGCTGCCAGTCACTCAGCTACTCAATTTCTCAGCATTCTATGGAACTCGAACGTTCATTACAGTGTTCACAAGAGCCCTACACTGGTCCATATCCTCAGACAGATGAATCCAGTCCATTTCTGTAAGATTCGTTTTAATATCATCCTCCCAGGTCTTCCTCTATTTTAGTATTCTGCACTGGATATGCTAAAGGGTTACAACAGGTCATAGTATTCAGATGCTTTAACATTCATATAACAATTTTTATATCTTCTGGCTGTACACATCCCATGCTGTTGTTAAAGCACCACTACATAACCCAAGAACTGTTTGATTTTAGGTTTTCATGGTTTTACCAAAACCACTGTTTTCTGGGATGTGATGTCATGCTATTTTGTAGACAGCTACCAACATTCCAGAGCAATGTATTGTATCCATCTTCAGAGACAATCCTGAAAGTGGAGGTAGTACACAGTCGTCTGTAACGTTGGTAGCTATCTACAAAATTATATCGTGTCACATCCCGTAAGTTAGCAATCTTCGAACTAAGAATTAAAGCACGCACGTTTCGGGTGTATGTGGCAGTACTATTCCCACCAGTCATTCATAAAGCATTTCATGACGTGTTAGTAACTTGTGCTATGTCTCAATTTGTAATTAAAAACAACAACATGCGCTGTCCACGGTACTTCGCAGTAGGATCTGCGCACCAGAGGTGTGAACAAACAGGATAAAATATGATAACAACTAAGTCGGGCCTACAAAACATCACCTGATGCTACATGCTATATTATGTTTGTGCAAGATGTTATTAACATCAATTCATTCTCGCATGAAGTTTAGACAACACTGAGAGAAACATGCTAAAAAGCTTCTAAGAATTCACAGTTATCTTGCCATGCTGTTCAGAGGTCCAGAACCAAAATTAATTCCGGTTATGTGGAGTAATTCGAACGTCATATATTAAATATTGTAGGTTCTTTGCCAATAAAGGCAAAGTTTAGACATCTGTATTGTGACCTACAAAATAATGCAAAGACAATTCAGATGCATAAAACTAAGAATCTTGTGTTACTAGGCCTACAACACCCCAACAAAGAACATCAAATATAAAAACGTTAACTTCTGAACGGTCAATGATGTTTGAGTAGCACTACAACCCCACCCAACTTCCTTGAAAATAAGCAAAACAATATGATTCATTTCTCATTTCGCGCATGCGCGGTACATGCTGCCATCTTAACCTTCTTAACTCACTAATCTTAGCGGCCTCCGTAGTCTAGAGGAAACGTTCCCACCTCATGACTCGTAGTACGCGGGTTCAAACCCGGCGGAGATCGTGGAATTTTTAAGGGCGGAAAAATTCAGGGAACAAGTCCTCCGGGAGGGACTTTTAAGCCGTGGGTCCCGTGTCGTAGCTTTACGGCACGTAAAATAACCTAATATCTCCAAAGGAGGTCACTGAGCCAAATTCAAGGACATTTCCCGCCCAACAGTAGTCTCTAACGCCTCTGATAGATTGGGGAAGCATTATAGATACCGCCAAGCCAGTAGAGGCCGAACTCGCTGGCTTGGTCGGGACTGATGGTAAGCACCAGTATCGGTAGGGTATAGAGACTGTAGAATATCATAGAGGGAAGCACAATAGATCAAACAGGTCGCGGTGCATGGGGAAACCCACCTTCTCCAATAACTAACTAACTAACTCACTAATCTTAATAACAGAGAACATTACATAATTTTCTCCATTTCCCTGTTCCTTCACCATCCACAGGCACGAAACCTCTTTTTCATCTCGCTGTTCTTAAATGCACTGTAAATGTGCAGTTTACCTGCACCTGAGCACCAAGCCACAATGATACACACGTGAATATGGAGGTTAGGTTCCACACATTCCGATAACATGGGTGGGTGACGCTGCAGCCATTTTACTTCATGGAGAAAGACTCCAGTGTATACACAGTGAGTATGATGTAACACAGAGATGGTTTGGATGCACTGATGATGTGAGAAATGGGAACAAAACTCGGTTGTCCATGACCGAACTCTCCCGGTCTGTAAGAAACTGATAGTCACTGATACTGCCATGAACAAAACGTACATACACTTACATTAGTTCTGTAGATCCTCCTGATGCACTGAGCTGCCGTCATGCGATGACCGTTACTGGCATAGTCCAACTGGAGTCTTGTCTTCACGAACCAGATTGGGTTAGTAGCAGTGCACGCCACAAAACCTGCGGCACAAGAACACTGTGAGGGCGGGGCAGAATTTGCATACTGAGATTCCTCCCTCCATTTCGGCACAACTTAACATCTCCATTCAGGATGATTGATTCTACATTCTGCTCCTTAACTTTCTGTGAAGAACAGAAAGCAGTTTTGTAGACTTCATTCATGTGTTACTTGGGCTCCAATTGGAGCACATCTGCAGAAACATCCTAGCATGAATCACATGATTCAAATGCAAATGATATTTTAAAACAATGAACCAGGAAAAAGGAAAATATTTGGAGAGGTGATGTATATAGTTTTATCAGAAAAAAATACATTAAAAGTATCTCCATAAGAGAATAGGGGCACGCGGTAGCGTAACTGGTTGAGGCACTATGCTACAAGAAGGAAGATAGCCGGTTCAAGTCCTGATGAGGTCATTAGATTTATTTTCAATTGACCTAATCCTTCCAGCCGCACTATGGCCCTGCGGTCGACTCAGCCTCTAACAGAAATGAGTACCAGGAATCTTCCTGGGGGTAAATGGAGGCCGCCGCGTAAGGCTGACAACATTACCGCCAACCGTGAGCCGATTTTCTAGAAAATGTGGGACCCTCAACGTCTCACAACCCTATGAGCCTTCACGGTCTGCTACAGGGATAGCTTTACCATAGTAGAACAATGACATCAAGCATCAACACTACTGCCATCTCCATCTATTATCACACTCCATTACCAGATGAGGAAGGACGTTTTGTGAACAATGAATGAGTAACACCAGGAGTTCACACTCAGTTTAAACACACGGAAAAAAAAATTTTTTTCTTACATAAATTACATATCACTTCAATGAGTGTGTGAAATTCTTCATGTTATCAAGCTCAAGATAATGTATGGATGAGACTTTACTCAGAAAATACTATCTTAAAATATTACGACACACAATCGTACTGACAACTGATACTAAGTAAACACCTTAATATTGTGACACGTAGGAGTCTCTAGGAAACGAACTGGCAAATACGGTGCCGCGGAGATACGATTCTTGGACAAAGGTTTCTATGGATAAGAAAAATGTAAGTTGTAAACTCTTGAAAACCAAAGAGTTGTTGCGAAACTGACACACGTTTCTATGGAGATGTGTATTCCTGGAGACCGACTTGGTACGGAACAAGTTTCCGTGTCAACGGACAAACGTTCTCCATGGTTACCGGAGACCATATAAGCGTCCGTGTAGAAAAGCACGCATTCATTTGACATTGACTTTGAATAGCGGTATCAGTCAGTCAGTGGTGAGTAACCCGTGTAGAGGCGGAGTCGAATACCTCCACCGTGACCCTGCGAGTCGTAGGAGGCGACGAAAAGGGAAGTCTCAAATTTGCGACAGTAAAATATGGTCGCGAGTCCCTAGAGACTCGTCACCCGAGCAAGAGTGCGCTGGCAAGGGCCGGCAGCATATACAAAAGACAGACCCGTCGTCTCGTCAGAGAGGGCGCCCAACAAAAACAAGACCGTAACTATCAAACAGTAACAAATATCTGCGCATGAGCCCCAGATGGGGTCGACACCAAAACTTACTGACTGACTGGCCGACCGTCAGTCGCAAAGTGACTTTGACTTTGAACTCATTCATTTTTCATGCGTCATTCGTCCTTAATGATTTGTAAGTCAGTCGTGGAAGACAGACCAAAAGAAAAGACAGTGGGAGTCCAGCCAGAATGGAGGGCGTCTTAAGCAGTCATTGATTACGATTAGGGGTGATTGTAACAGGTTAATAAATCCATTCATCCAATCCATAACTTGCTGTTATTGGTCACGGAACCCCGGACACGTGACAATACATTTTTCTCAGGCTGTTATTTGATTTCCCAAATTCGTTGAACACCAAGAAGGAATTCACATTTAACCTCGTTTTTTTTTCTTATTTACTTTACTACGCCACCAATGTTAAATGGTGGACTGATAAAACTGAAGCGGCTTTGTGTGGAAGCGGTCATGAACTAACACCGGTACTATATCACGACATTTGTCTGGAGGGACTAAGGACACAGACGAGAACCCGCAGTCAGAGTTCCTTGTGTCACGGACAAGTTTCACACCGAGCGCTACGAGCACACCAAAGTGCTCGGTCAAGTTCTTCTGTATGCACTGGTGGCAGAAGACCAATGTCATTTACCAGACGCCCAAAATTCTGGGAAGTACTGCGACAGGATGGCGATGTCGTACGCAAACATTCGTACCTTGGGCGGAACTGGAACCTCAAACCACAGTTCAAGCAACATTAAGCAGATCTGTTGTGCCGATAAACCAGGGGCAACATAATAATGCAGAAATTCAGACGAAAACGAGGGGCCTAAATGCTCAAGTGTGGTCACCATAATGCGGGACAAAACCAAAGATATATTAAAAACTTTCTAAAATATGCCAATGTCCAAATATCTGAGAACGACAGTAACAAATGCCTGTCCGTCCTGCAGTGGTTCAGTTTGTAAGCCTGCATGCGCAAGGTGACAACGGAGTCACGATACCATAAAGGAGCCACTGTCAACGTGCTAATTGAAGAGTAAGGCCCCCCATACACACACAGTTTGGCCTTCCGATCGACCTTACAGGCAAAACTGTGACAGTTTACTCCCCCAATATGGGGGGGCCAGATCGCCGTATCTATATCGCCCAGGAACAGTGTGGCTCGGTTATATCCCCAGGCACTGGGTTACATTTTCGTCGTCNGTCCTGCAGGCAGAACTGACGGACTGACGGGTTTCCCACAGGCCAACAGTCCAAACGATTGGCCGGCCGGCCGCACCACACACGTCAGTTTTGCCTTTCAGTCTTCAACTGTGCAGGCCGAACTGAAGGCCAAACTGTGTGTGTATGGGGGCCCTTAGCATTAATGGTACATGCAAACTTGTGATTCTCAGCATATCGCAGGTCGGATCTGTGTCCACGCTCGGTAGCAGTGAACCCAAATATTAAATGCAGTTTCGTAACATTCCGAATTATTACTACTTGAGGAAGAAGACCGGCAGATACCTGCTGATCATGACGGGGGCACGCTGACGTCTTCTCAGCAAGAGAAGCAAAAGGTAACCGAGCTGGAATGCCAGGTTAGGTCCACCCGTCGCGTGCTTTCGGGGTGAGGGCACACCAAGGAAACTGGCAACCGCAACCCAACCGCAATTTCCGAGAATTGTTATCAGCTGCAGTTTCCTTAATTTGCGCTGTTCCAGCCAGTAACATGGGTTCAACTCAGGCTGACAACAATTCTCGGAAATTGCGGTTGTCAGTTTCCTTGGTGTGCCATCACCATTAGTGTGAGATGCATCAAATCGGACAATACAAACAAAATAATAAGAGATTCGCAATTCTTTCTAACTTTTGATATCGTGGTACCTTAAATTAAACCTAGCCCTGTTCTTATTAAGCTTAATTTATACATGTCTTTATTTACAATCTGTGTGACCCAATCCTACGCTACAAGCAGGAAGGTCACGGATTCTGTGTGACCCAATCCTATGCTACAAGCAGGAAGGTCACGGATTCTGTGTGACCCAATCCTATGCTACAAGCAGGAAGGTCACGGATTCTGTGTGCCCCAATCCTATGCTACAAGCAGGAAGGTCACGGATTCTGTGTGCCCCAATCCTATGCTACAAGCAGGAAGGTCACGGATTCTGTGTGCCCCAATCCTATGCTACAAGCAGGAAGGTCACGGATTCTGTGTGCCCCAATCCTATGCTACAAGCAGGAAGGTCACGGATTCTGTGTGCCCCAATCCTATGCTACAAGCAGGAAGGTCACGGATTCTGTGTGCCCCAATCCTATGCTACAAGCAGGAAGGTCACGGATTCTGTGTGCCCCAATCCTATGCTACAAGCAGGAAGGTCACGGATTCTGTGTGCCCCAATCCTATGCTACAAGCAGGAAGGTCACGGATTCTGTGTGCCCCAATCCTATGCTACAAGCAGGAAGGTCACGGATTCTGTGTGCCCCAATCCTATGCTACAAGCAGGAAGGTCACGGATTCTGTGTGCCCCAATCCTATGCTACAAGCAGGAAGGTCACGGATTCTGTGTGCCCCAATCCTATGCTACAAGCAGGAAGGTCACGGATTCTGTGTGCCCCAATCCTATGCTACAAGCAGGAAGGTCACGGATTCTGTGTGCCCCAATCCTATGCTACAAGCAGGAAGGTCACGGATTCTGTGTGCCCCAATCCTATGCTACAAGCAGGAAGGTCGCGGATTCGATTTCTGATGTCATTGGATTTTTCAACTGACCTAATCCTTCCAGCCGCATTATGGCCCTGGTGTCGACTCAGCCTTTAACATAACTGAGTACCAGGAATATTCTTGTAATGTTCTTGGGGGTACACAGCGGCCGGCGCGTAAGGGTGACAACTTCACTGTCATTTGTGAACCGACAGTCTAGAGAAAATGTGGGAACCTCGACATCTCACAACCCTATGGGCCTCCACGGCATGTTACAGGGATAGCTTCACTTCTTCACCTACGCACCAATCACTCTGGATTTCATTTCTGTTGGTAAGGCGACGGGCTACGAGCTGGGCGCCATGGATTCGATTCCCGGCAGGGGCAAGAAATATTTCTCTTCTTCACGGTGTCCAGATCGGCTCTGTGGCCTACCCAGCCTATCCAATGGGTACCGATGGCTCTTTCCACGGAGGTAAAGGGGTGAAGGCGACCACTTACCTCCATCTAGCGCAGAGGTCCACTCTCCCATACGTTTTCCTGGATTGGTGCTTAATTAAACACAGGTACTTTACCGTTTTGCTATATAATTTACGCCGGTCTACATAGTCATAGGAACATTTATCTACCTACCTCTCTGTGTGTGTCGTGAAACAACCACTTAAGGACAGTACAGGTTATAGAGACCAGAAGTATACGCGACAGCAGTCTTTGAGGCAGCCTGTTTCATAGTAACTATCCGGTTACCTGTGTGGGTGGGCCGCGCCATAGCTCAAGCGGTTAGTCGCTGGCTTCCCACCGCAACGGCCCGGG